GGGAATATTTTCCATTATTTTTAAGTGTATGTGAGTTTCCAGATCAATAATATATTAGCCAGTTGTTTAAATCAATGAATAGTTGTGTATTCCAAATGGAACCCCTGAAAGGACAACTTATGTGAGATGGACACACACATACAATAAATTGCATATCCAAGTTCATACCCACATGCACAAAGGACTCATGAAGGGACTTCTTAGGTGGGGTAGATCCTCACACACTCCTATAAATTGCATCTCCAAAGTACCTACCCATATACGCAAAGGGACCTTGACCTTGGTTTGTCTAGTAAGAAGAGAAAAATGGTAGCCATATTCCCTCCAGCATAACTTCTCCTTAATTATTGTGCCTCTCTTTTTTTCATAATTTTTTTAAATAAATTTTATTTTCAATGCATAATTACAACAAAAATTACAAACATTGAATCCAAACTGAAACTATACAAACAAGAAAGAAAAACAGAACACAAAAGAAAGAAAAAAATGAACAACAACAAAGCCCACATCTACAAATAAAACCATATCTTCATTCTAATCTAGTCATTACATACATATACACATATTAACTTCCTTCCTTTGTTCTAGGACATCAAAAATTTTACTCTTTCTAAATTGTTGTGTCTAATGTAGATTATACTTTTTACACCATTTTTCTTTTTCTTTAACCCTGCAAAGCATCATTCATTACATACCGATATGCTTACTCCAGAACACTGTAAATTTTGTGAATATATAAATCTGGCAAGACCGACAGCATTCATAAGGGGACAATCGGCCCAGAAATTATTAAAATAATGGGGATGTGCTAAAGAATATATGAAAAAGCATTGTTCTGGAAACATTATTGTGCCTCTCATTGCGCCGCCAATGAGGCAACATAAGGCAATTGCCTCAGGCGGCAGGAGCTGCAGGGGCAGCAGATCACGATGCCAATCTTTATTCCCCTCTTGTTCCTGATGTAGATCTTCACTCACCTCCTCTTCCCTAGTGGGGAGGGGAGGCACTATTTTGTGGTTCACCTCAGGTGCCCAAATGTCTTAGGTGGCCCTGATCTCAAAGCCTTTCTCCCCATGTAGGCTGATATGCAGGAAAGGAGCTCTTTACCCCCCCCCTCCACTTCTTATCATGCCGTGGCCTCCCTGTTATGTACTGAGTTGAATAGGATCCAAAATGCAGCAGTCTGATTGGTCCTAGAACAATAGGATTCAGAATGCAGCAGTCTGATTGGTCCTAGAACAATGCAGCAGTCTGATTGGTCCTAGAACAATGCAGCAGTCTGATTGGTCTGCAGGAGCCACCCAATCCAGCTCCAGATGGAAGTGAATCCACAGCCTGATTGGCCTACAGGAGAATTCCAGAATTAGCCAATCATGTGCAGCCCATTGTGCAAATAATGTATATAAAGCAGATACTTTGGGGAAACTTTCATTCCTCCTCACCACTATGAGCTGAATAAAGAGCATGAAATGCACTCTTGACTCTGAGTATATTTCATGTCCAATAATGGATTTCCCTTCCATTGTGTGCCTCAGCATTGTCCTTTGGGCACTGTCTGAAGATATATTTATTCATTCAAGCCTTTCTATGGTACGCTGGTTTAACATCATCTGATAGGAAGTGCCTACAGAGGGTGGTGAATACAGCACAAGATATTATGGGCTGTCCCGTGAATCCGCTGGATGAAATAGTGGAAGAACATTGCCTCAGGAGAGTGAGGAAAATTCTCAGGGATGATTCACACCCAGTCCGGCACTTTCTTGATCAACAGGGTAAAGAACAGCTTCTATCCGTGGGCTGTGAATGAAAAGATAACAACAGGGCAACTGACTTTTGGGTTTGGTGGGTGTCGTCAGGAAAGACTAAGACTAAGAGAGCTGAGTGGGGGGTGCTCGTTTAATCTCACTGTATACAAGTTGTACAAGTGACAATAAAGTATTTCAATTTCAATTCAATTTCAACTGTAAGGAATGAGGTAGTCATCTCGAGATAAACATGGATCTGGAAGACCCAGATAAAATGGGAGTGGGGAGTGCAGCTGCCACATGGGGGGGGCAATATTGTGTGTACGGTGAGGAAAACGGGACTAGATGATCCTCAGGGTCCCTTCCAACTCTACAGTTGTAGGATTCTCTGATTCTCTGACTGCAAGTATCATAAATCGTGATGGTTTATGATACTTACAGTGTTGGTCCACTGTCTCCACCTCCATCATTCTGCCCGGACACTGAGGTCCGGCGCCAAGAGCCTTCTGGTGGTTCTCTTACTGTAAGAAGCCAAGTCACAGGGAACCAGGCAGAGGGCCTTCTCGGTAGTGGCACCTGCCCTGTGGTACGCCCTCCCACCAGATGTCAAAGAAATAAACAACTATCTGACTTTTAGAAGACATCTGAAGGTAGCCCTGTTTAGGGAAGCTTTTAATGTTTGATGCATTACTGTATTTTAATATTTTGCTGGAAGCCGCCCAGAGTGGCTGGGGAAGCCCAGCCAGATGGGTGGGGTATAAATAATAAATTATTATTATTATTATTATTATTGTTCTTCTTCTTCTTGTTGTTGTTGTTGGCACATTGCTATTGGACACCATGGCATAATAGGTTTTATTTTTAATTTTTTGGGTAAGATTTTATGTATTGTTGTATACCACCCAGATGAAGAGCGGCCTAGAGATATAATGATGATGATTGTACCAGCTGTATATTTATTCTGTGGTGTGGGGGGGTTTTTTTTACATCATAAATTGGTATATTTATCTTTGAAGGGAACTTCTTTGTGATGTTAAGTGAATGATCATACCTCTGTTGGAGTAAAACAATACTTCTCTTCCACCTTCAATGTCAGGTCAGTTCCTTCAAGTGCCAACTTGAGGGATTAAGCTACTAAGTACTGTTTGTTTTACAGCCCTTGACCCTAATAAAATTAATAGACATGATGGAGGTCAGTAATGAATCGACTGCATAGGATTTATTTTGGAGAGAACATGTTGGCTGGAAAAGTTATTTTATTTTATTTTAAATTAAAAGGCATACAGACCATTTCAACAAGTCTCACTTTGCACAGGAAAGCAAGTCTTACAGCAGGAGAAACAAAAAGCGGATTGAAAAAATATATACAGCCAATTTCAAAACTAGTGAAGGTATAAACTGTCAACATACTGGGATGGACTTTATGATTAAATTAAATAAAAATAACTTTCCTTGAAAATGAAGGGGGAAACGAATAAAGGGATTTGTTTTTATTTTAGGAAAGGGGATTACCTGAGAAACTCTGGGAGGGAGTTTCTGTCAGTGTCACCATGGCAACCATGAAGCACAAGCCCTGCATGCACTTAAATTGTGAACAGAAGCTTCAGCCAAGGCAGAGAACACAATTTTGTAAACAGAAGCCAAGATGAAAGGGGCACCAGTGTGCATTACAATTTGTAACATCTGACGCCATATACATATATTAGCCCAGCACTTCTATGGGAAGACTATTGGGTCATATCATGTTTCCACCCATTGTTTTTAAAATACAGTCATACCTCGGGTTACAGACGCTCCAGGTTGCGTTTTTTCGGGTTACGGACCGCCAAAAGCCAAAAGTACTAGAACGGGTTACTTCCGGGTTTCAGTGGCCGCGCATGCGCAGAAGTGCTAAATCGCGATTTGCGCATGCGCAGAAGCGCCGAATCGCAACCCGTGCATGCACAGACGAACGCTGTAGCGATTTTTGCAAACAAATCCTTAAAGACGGAGCTCCCAGACAAAGTCAGGCCCAAACTTTTCTCCTGCAGTGCTGCCACTTTTCCTGCTTCCTCCCATTAGCCTGCCAACTTAAAAGCGAAGGCAAACGGGAGCTTTTTGGGGTTAGCCAGAGTTGTTGAACTTTTTTTTGTGGAGCCAGAGTTGTTGAGCCTTCTTTCTTGCGGTGCCTCCGAGGAGTCTGCCTGCTGCCCTACAGCTGAGGGGAAGGCAGCGGGCGGACATTTTGGCAGCGGGAAACCTGTGCGCGCCAAAACCACAGTGTCTCTCACAGACGTGGAGTGCCGCACAGGTTTTTGTCACCTCCCTCAGAGGTGACACCTGGGGTGAACAGGCCCCACTGCCCCCACCTTGTTCCGTCCCTGTGTGTTGGCATTTCACTATAGGGCAGGCTTATATAACGTGTGGCTTTCTTAAGTCAAACGTCGCCCAGCAGCCATGAATTGTGGCTTGACAAGCTCCTGCCCTGTTTACAGTAGCGGTCAGTCAGTAAGGCTGGCAGGTCAAATGAACTTTAGGTGGGCCACCAGCGATGGTTGCGCCCAGCAGTTGGGTCACAAGTGGTACAGTCCCGCATTAGAGGGTGCATTTTGAAGGCACTGGCTCTCCTTAGCTAGCCTTCCCACTTCAAGTGGCTGCTCTGGATAACTAATTGCTAACCAGGGTTCCAGGCTCTGCCATGTCATGCCGTTTAGTTGATGCCTTGATGACTTCTCTTTAAGCTGTCTACCAGCTCCATCTGGTATGCAGGCTGAAACCCTACCTGCCCGCAGACTGTCTCACCAGAGTGGTGTATGCTCTAGTTATCTCCTGCTTGGACTACTGCAGTGCACTCTACGTGGGGCTACCTTTGAAGGTGACCCGGAAACTACAATTAATCCAGAATGCGGCAGCTAGACTTGTGACTGGGAGTGGCCGCCGAGACCACATAACATTGGTCCTGAAAGACCTACATTGGCTCCCAGTACGTTTCCGGGAACAATTCAAAGTGTTGGTGCTGACCTTTAAAGCCCTAAACGGCCTCGGCCCAGTAGACCTGAAGGAGCGTCTCCACCCCCATCGTTCTGCCTGGACACTGAGGTCCAGCTCCGAGGGCCGTCTGGCAGTTTCCTCACTGTGAGATGTGAGGTTAAAGGGAACCAGGCAGAGGACCTTCTCAGTGGTGGTGCCTGCCCTGTGCAGACCATCCCACCAGATGTCAATGAAATCTGACTTTTAGAAGACATCTGAAGGCAGCCCTGTTTAGGGAAGCTTTTAATATTTGATGAATTATTGTATTTTAATATTTTGCTGGAGTCAGGAATTGCAACAAATCCCATTTTTTCTGTGCCTGCCAAGGGAGGGGCATGGCTAAATTTAAATGCCATGTCCTTGCTGGGATGAGGGGCTAGCAATTTGTGACTTGCCTGGATTGCTTTGGTTCTCTTCCTGACAGCTAACTCTAGCTGAATCTTCATCCTCCACCACCTGTGACCCACTTTACTGTAATGGGGAGAAGATCAGCAGCCTTCCCTATTTTGGAAGCTTTCCAATGATCAGCAGATCAGATTCGTTTATTTGTTATCAGACCACCGCAAGAAACAAAAGTTTGACAATAGGAAAGTAACACCAATAGAAGTTAACCCAGATCCAAAGAAAACCAAAACCAAACTTCAAATCTTGAATTTTCTGGGCAGAGTACAGGCCCTTCATTTAACAAATAGTAAAATAAAAGATTAAGATGAAAGGAATTTAAACAAATCTGAATAGAATTATGCAAAACCTAAATGAAGAGGAGCAAGAAGCAAACTGAATCCCCCAGACAAGAGACACATCATTCTCTCCTCTCACAGGTTACCGCTGGGTATAGGATGGTATATAAATTCAATAAATAATAAAAATAAAAATAAATGTTACAACAGATGGAAAATGTGCAATCTTCACAGTGGCATATTTCTCTTCTTCACTCAGTAGGTAAACCATAGACTCATACCTTTCCCATCACTGTGTAAAAATTGTTCCAGATGTTGTTCTCTCAGCGCATTATACAATGGGCAGGATTTTCTGGCGAAGCATATATAGGAACACAGGAAGCATGCCTTATATGGTGTCAGTCCCTTGGTCTATCTAGTTCCATATTGTCAACACTGACTGGCAGTGGGTCTCCAAGGTTTCAGAGAGGCAACAATCTCATCCCAACCAAGAGATCCTGGGGGTTGAATCTGAGTCCTTTTGCCTGTGAAACAGATGTGCTCCCACTGAGCCACAGCAACCCCCCAAATAGGGCAGCAGGGATAAAGTATCTTGACGTGCGCTGGGAATGCTCTTTTCTCGGAAAGGAGAGAAAAGGCTATTCCTGCTCTTCAGCCATCAAAGGGTCTTGATGATTTAGGTGACAGTACTGTGTAAAAACGAGCTGTGTGGTACCATGTAGAAATGTGGCACCATCTTTTTCAAGATAAAATATTCCCATATGGAGAAAAGCCATTTACACTGAAACATACTGCTCAGTCGATGCACCTTTGAAAAGCAAGGACCTCTAAAAAGCAAGGACTGACTGCAAATGTGGAACAAACCGTGGCAGTTCTGTTTGGCCACCAGGGTGTACAAGGAATGGTTTTTGCTCCTCATTCCTCTCTCCTTAAATAATAGATTTCTGAACAAGGGTGAGACTTCTATTTCACCCCTCAGACACAACGTGGCCTTTATCAACGCTAAATATATTCCGGCTTGGATACCGCCTGCATCTCTTGCCCTTCTGTTCTTTCTCTGAAAGTCCCCAAATTTCCTGATTTTCTTCGCCTAGAGAACAAAGTAATAATAATAATAATAATTGTAAAATTGAAATGAATTCACAGTATAAGGGTGGTGAATCTAATGAATCTAATGTAAAAAGAGAGTCAGGTTTAGGAGAGGATGAATTCAAACATGAATAAGAATTCATTCCCAGGAGGTCCCAGAAGGGATGCCTCCTGAATGGCTACAGCATGGGCCATGTGTACGGCATATGTAGTTTTAAAGAAAGTCCAACAGAGGTCTAAACATGCCAATATCAAATACCTGTGTTAAAGCAATGCCATGAGCAAAATTACAGAAGGGGTGTTGAAGGAATTGGACCTGGAGGAAGGGGTTAATTTTCTTCACGAGCACAGATCACCCCATATATGAGACAAGATAACAGGTGCAAGGCCTGTCAAACCAGTTGCTATGGCAACAGCCCAGAGCCGCCTATATAAGTGATTGAGGTAAGTCAGCTCAGGATGCCGGGGTCTTGTGCTGTGTGTTGAGAAGTGAGTCAGAGTCGGTGTTACATCTTGAATTGTTGAAGCCTCAGAAATACTTTGTACCTGTGTATATACATATCTGCAAAGCCTACAAGCTGTATGTATGTATCAATGTCTGGAAATGTATTACTGAAGCAGTAAACTATTTTGGACCTTAATCTGCCTCTGTGTGTGATGGGAACTGAGGGCAACTTCTGTTATGGGGGTATCTCACAACACTGTAAACTGGACCATCCATCCATCATTCTACTTTATTAGGTGTTCTGTAATGTTTTCCCAATTTTAATACATCAGTGTGTCTGGAGGGGCACTCTTGCACTATTGCACAAACAGGACAAGACTCCCCCTCCCTCAGAAATTTGTGATATGGAAAGTTGCAGGATTCTAGCAGGAAATTGTAGGCCACACACTAATTGGAAATGAAGCTGTATGTCTGCCCTGAAGTTTTTGCAGCTGCAAACAGTATTGAAAGCACGATCACATTTAACTTCCCTAATACCATTATGAGCACAAATCATAAATGCAGAATAAGAAGGACTTCAGGATGGGGTAGCTGTATCTTCTAAAGTCTTCTGCTATAGTCCTATTACTCACCTGGAGAGCACAATGTGTAACCAGGCAAATATTTGGTAGCATTTTTTTGCCCATATAAATCCCATTAAGGGGGGAACCAAGAAGTCTAATACCTGAAAGCATCGCAAAGGGTGTTGCTGAAAACACAGTATATGATGGGATTGATGGCACTGTTTAAAGATGGCAGATTCTGAATAATCACTGCGGCATAGAAGCGTTCTTTGGTTTCCGGGAGGACGCTGAAGTTGTCCAGAATGTCAAAGAGAAAATAAGGACTCCAGCAGAGTACAAAAGCTGCAAGAAATCAAGGAAATGGTTTGAAAAGTGTTCCGTTTTAATGGGGAAAGTAGCACTAGGAGATCTGGGCAAAATTGGCTTGTCTACTCTCACAAGTGTTCTGTTTTTCTCACTAAAAAGGGGGAATTGCTTTGAAATCTGGTAAACTTTTGCATGCCTATGTAGAACCAACCTGTTGAGTTCCTGCAACACCTGCTGAAAGCCCATCTATTAAAGTGCAGGATCCTCATATGTCCTGGGTCAATGGGATTCAGCTGCAAATATACAAAGCTTTTTAAAAAAATAAAAATGTAACAACTTATTTTAATGGATGGCCATCATTAAATACTGAAAGGACTTTGCTTTCTAAGCTGCGAACCTCAAAGGTATTCCTACATCTGCCTCTGGCTTTCAAAGAAGGGAACTAAGTGTTTTCTCTTTGCATAATCCTTTTGTTGCAAGTTCCCTGAGGTTCATCGGCAAAAGATCAAGAATACTGGCACAGACTTATTTGCACATCCCATCTGCAAAGAAGAAAATGCGTGGCACACCCTCCTCCTGTTATATCAGTTTGCCTGTCCCTCTGGACTAATCCAGACAAACAAAACACTGAGTGACAGCAATATAATCACATTAAACACAGATGTGTAGCCAATTAAATCATTATCAAATGCCAGGGAGCGCTTTCTCCTGCGTCCCCTTGCATTAACAGCCAGCCTAATTGAATCAATATAAATTCCAGCACCTAAGCCGGGGATTCTTCAGTTTTGCATTTGATAGCATCTGCAGAAAATGCATATTTAAGTTTGAATAAGAAAAAAGGAAGACTAATCACTTGGCTGATGGAGGTCACTCCTTCTGTATGCTTGCAGACAGGCAGATTAAAAAAAAGAAAAGCTTATAATGGAAATCAAAGCGTGTAATGTTTGCAGCATATAGTTTGCATAAAAAAACCTCTGAGGTTCAATACTTTGCATCTCAAGGCAGGGCTGGGAAAGACTCCTCAAGAACTCAATGGCAGATTCACACCGTAAAGCTAAAGCACATTCAATGCACATTTAAAGCACATGGCATCCTCCAATGTACCGGTATACTGGGAATTGTAATCGAAACGGTCTCGGCCCAGTACAGTGGTACCTCGCAAGACGAATGCCTCGCAAGACAAAAAACTCGCTAGACAAAAGGGTTTTTTTGTTTTTTGAGCTGCTTCGCAAGACGATTTTCCCTATGGGCTTGCTTCGCAAGACGGAAACGTCTTGCAAGTTTGTTTCCTTTTTCTTAACACCGTTAATACAGTTGCGACTTGACTTCGAGGAGCAACTCATAGAACGCAGTGTGGTAGCCTTTTTTGAGGTTTTTAAAGACTTTGGTGATTTTTGAAGCTTTTCCAAAACTTTCCCGACACCGTGCTTTGCAAGATGAAAAAAATCGCAAGACGACAAAACTCGCGGAACGAATTAATTCCGTCTTGCGAGGCACCACTGTATACCTGAAGGAGCGTCTCCACCCCCATCGTTCTGCCCGGACACTGGGTCCAGCTCCGAGGGCCTTCTGGCAGTTCCCTCCCTGCGAGAAGTGAGGTTACAGGGAACCAGGCAGAGGGCACCTGCCCCGTGGAACACCCTCCCATCAGATGTCAAGGAAATAAACAACTATCTGACTTTTAGAAAACATCTGAAGGTAGTCCTGCTTAGGGAAGTTTTTAATATTTGATGTTTTATCGTGTTTTTAATATTCTGTTGGGAGCCACCCAGAGTGGCTGGGGAAACCCAACCAGATGGGCAGGGCATAAATAATAAATTGTTGTTGTTTTGTTGTTGTTATTTTCGCCCCCACAGAACTCCACTTCCAAGCACACTTAACAAACTACAGTCCTCAGGATTCTTTAGGGCAGGTTTCCCAAACTTAGGTCTCTGGCTGTTGTTGGACTACAACTCCCATCATCCCTAGCGAGCAAGACCAGTGGTCAGGGTTGGTGGGAGTTGCAGTTCAGCAATATCTGGGGACCCACAGGTTGAGAAAGGCTGATTTAGATGGACCAGCAGCTTGACTTAGTACAAGACAGGCGTGGCGAATCAATGACCCTTTAAAAGTTGCCACACTCAAAGTAGTTCTGGGTTGCCCTGGGCAAGATAAAACAACTACGGTAACAAATGTGATAAAGAAAAATAATAGATAATAAACAGGGGCGATGGAAGTCGTGGTCTAGCAATATCTGGCGGCATAAAAGATCCCACCCAACTTTCTAGGTCTCTATCCTGGTGCTTATCACGAGCTATTGCCTCTTTGAAATTGTGTGGGGCTGCTTTTTAAAGCAACTGTTAAAATCAGTTTTTTCTTTACTGCTGTTGTTGTTAAAAACTGATTTTGAGATAACTTGCTTTGGTTGCTTTTGTGAATTTGTGTAACCCATTGAAAGGGGACACATGAAAGTTTGAAATAATTCAATAACGGGTATAAAGCACAGGGACATACCAAGAATGGCAAAAAATACTTGGCAAAAAATAAAAAAATCTATTTTGTTGCTATATAGGTGGTTCTAAAGCTTGTAGAGATTTCAGGGACTTGGAAAGCCACGGGGGGAAATGACCCTACTCTACAGAGAAATAAGCACTCATTTAATATTTCATGGGGGTGGGAGGGAGGCAGAACAGAGTAGGTAGAACAGGACTTGACTGTGTTGATGATAAAGGCAATCTGTGACTGTGTTGCCATGGAGGGATGCTTTAATTGCCGTAGAAGCGATCTCAGCTATATCCGCTGGGTGAGTCAATCTTTACTGCAGCACACCAGGCTAAACAAAACAGAATCCAAAATGCTACTTCAACCTATCTCAGAAAAGGGTCAGCAGCAATGATTGCATCTTTGCAACTTTCACATTTCTGTCTTGTCACAATTTAAGTGGAGAAGGACCCCTGCACAGAAGATATGAAACCAGTAGATATACAGTGGTACCTCGGGTTAAGTACTTAATTTGTTGCGGAGGTCTGTACTTAACCTGAAACTGTTCTTAACCTGAAGCACCACTTTAGCTAATGGGGCCTCCTGCTGCCGCTGTGCCGCCAGAACACGATTTCTGTTCTCATCCTGAAGCAAAGTTCTTAACCTGAAGCACTATTTCTGGGTTAGCGGAGTCTGTAACCTGAAGCGTATGTAACCTGAAGCTTATGTAACCCGAGGTACCACTGTAGTAGTCAAAGACAGATAATCAGGGGGTATGGGCTGGGTGTCCATCAATATGCGGATGATACCCAGCTCTACCTCTCTTTCAAATCAGAACCAGTGAAGGCAGTGACGGTCCTGTGTGAGTGCCTGGAGGCGGTTGGAGGATGGATGGCGGCTTACAGATTGAGGTTGAATCCTGACAAGACAGAAGTACTGTTCTTGGGGAACATGGGGCGGGCTGGTGTGGAGGACTCCCTGATCCCGAATGGGGTAACTGTGCCCCTGAAGGATCAGGTGTGCAGCCTGGGAGTCATTTTGGACTCACAGCTGTCGATGGAGGCACAGGTTAATTCTGTGTCCAGGGCAGCTGTTTACCAGCTCCATCTGGTACGCAGGCTGAGACCCTACCTGCCTGCGGATTGTCTTGCCAGAGTAGTGCATGCTCCAGTTATCTACCGCTTGGACTACTGCAATGTGCTCTACATGGGGCTACCTTTGAAGGTGACCTGGAGAATGCAATTAATCCAGAATGTGGCAGCTAGACTTGTGACTGGGAGTGGCTGCTGAGACCACATAACACAAGTCTTGAAAGACCTACATTGGCTCCCAGTACGTTTCTGAGCACAATTCAAAGTTTTGGTGCTGACCTTTAAAGCCCTAAATGGCCTCGGCCCAGTATACCTGAAGGAGCGTCCCCACCCCCATCATTTTGCCCGGACACTGAGGTCCAGCTCCGAGGGCCTTCTGGCAGTTCCCTCACTGCGAGAAGCCAAGTTACAGGGAACCAGGCAGAGGGCCTTCTCGGTAGTGGCGCCTGCCCTGTGGAACACCCTCCCATCAGATGTCAAGGCAATAAACAACTATATTACTTTTAAAAGACAACTGAAGGCGGCCCTGTTTAGGGAAGTTTTTGATGTCTCATACTGTATTGTTTTTAATATTTGGTTGGAAGCCGCCCAGAGTGGCTGGGGAAACCCAGCCAGATGGGCGGGGTATAAATAATAAACGGTATTATTATTATTATCATTTCAGACTACAGGTGGGGGATTGAGTATTTTCGAGAAAGCCACAATACATTAAATAATAAAAAAAGCATCAGCATTCACTCATGCAATCCCTTTCCTGCAGTTTGAACAATTACAGCCCAGGAATAGTTTTCTCACTTTATCTGCTGCTTGTGTAAACGAACTAGGCATGTAAGAAGGGTCTGCTGGTACAGGCCAATGGCCCAGTGTCCTGTTTGCACAGTCTGTCTGCACATCCCTTCCTTGCTCTCGTTCCTATTGCCACTACAATCCGCATTGAATTAAACTACAGTTTCTTGTTCAGTCTAAGACAGGGAAATGTCACTTTACTAATCAAGATCTCAAATCAGAATCAAACTGTGGTTTCAGATCCTGGTTGGTAAACTGGCATTAAATCACAGTTTTCTTATTTTGCAAGTAAAGAGCTGGCCCAAGTGTGTGTGTGTTGCATGCAGGCTTGGTGGTTTTTAGTAAACCAGGAACGTTACAGCAAAACCAGTCCATTATCCACTCCGCTCGTCATAGCAGATATAATACTTGGGAAAAGGTCAGCTCACAATAGCTTTTTAATAGCATCTCATAATTGAATCTTGAAGAAACCTCAGTTACTACGCAAGCTAATGCTACTTTGTCTTATGGTTAGGCTTGTCTGTAAAGTTTTATTTTGGTGCAGAGACTGGGGCGTCTCAGCCATGGAAAACCTGGTTTACTTTCTTTAAAAATAAGAAAAGAAAACAGTATACATTCTTGCTTGAGTAAAAATGTAGCTATCAAAGGCTGAGGCAGTCAGAAGAAGCTGCTCTTACTCTGGCAGCAGAAGTGAAATGGATGGAATGGATCTGAGACAACACCATGGGGGCAGATGTCCACTCCAACTCTCTGGAAGCTTCCATGGAGCCATATTTTAAAAAATGAAGTCTTTCACTGGTCACTGATGTCTAGTTAATTGGTATATGTCGTCACTTACCAAGAATTATTACCACACTGTACTTGATAGCTTTGATTTTAGCCTTTGATATGAGTCCCCGATGGGTGTAGCTAGCACAGAATTTGCCATCTGCAAAGAGAAGAGAAGGGAAAAATAAATTTAAGAAATGCATAGCCATGACTGGAATGTGGTCACCTCTCTCATCAAACTGCCCCAAAAGCCCGTTTATTGTAATGGAAATTTTTAGAATGACCAATCATGAGCAATTTCGCAATACATATACCATCTATAATATCATCTAACCTATCAATTTGTCCCGTTATTTATTGATTCTTTATCTGAATTCTTACGCAACGCACAGTCACCTAGCCTGTCACAAGGACCTTAGTTATGCTGAAGCATCTTAAAAACAACACAACACACACAACACAACACAACACAACACAACACGATCTTTTGAGATATTCTTTTATCATAGATGTGGCTATATGCTTTTTAAAAAGTGTAAACAGCTATCTGATGTGGCTTTCAACAAGTTGCGAAGACATCTCCCTTAGCTACCAGCTGTGAGGTAAAATAATCTTCTCAGTCCATCCTGCTGCAGAACAGCCAACATAATAGTGTGCCGTGCCAAATTTTTGTGAGGTTTGATTTTCAAAGCAGAGCTGTAAATTGGGGAGATTTTAAACTGTTTGCTGCCACCACCACTCTCACAATTTTGATGCCAGTTCCCAGCCTTCCAACTCCCAATTTACTGTTCCTGCCTTATTTTTTATTTTATTTTTTGCAGGGGGAGAGAGATGTTAGAGATATAGATTTTTTTAATTGTTTATAGCCAATGACCATATGCTAGAGATAGGCAAGCAGTCTTGTGCCCACCCTGAAAAGCATATTAAACCTGAACACTTGGAAAGTTTTAATGAAGCTCTCTGAGTGTTCAGCTTAACACTTCCTTTGGCTGGTAGCCCATTCTACTCCCACAAGGGCTAAAAGAGCTCACCTTGAGGAAGAGAGAGAAGGTAGCAGCTTGCGGAGGGCTCCAGTAATGACGGAAGAGGCCTGTTAAATGCCTCCCCTCTGAAAAATGATGTTATGGGCATAATTTTCTGCTGAGGAATAATTGGGTATTAGAAGTTCTCCATATGGCTTTCATAAGCAGAATCTTTGCTAAGAGCCTCGCTGTAGGTCTACTTCCAGTTTTGTTCCCCAACTTAGATGAAGCATTCTTCAGGATCTGTGGTTGTCTATTCCCCATAGCTGGGTCAACATTGGCCTTTAGGATCTGATAACATTGGATAATATGATCCAAAGGTCTTTTCCATCCCTACAATACTATGAGCCTAAGAAATTGTGGCAATTCCAAGAGGGGTAGCTGTGGTGTCCTTTAAGATGCCACAGAACTTCTTGTTGTTTTTGATGCAATTCTACGTTACTTGGTAGCTCAAAGATTTCATCTGCGAAGCCTGCCAAAACTGAAACTTTTGAATTTAAAATTTCACACTCAAAACGGAAATGTAAATGGTGCTCCAGAATCTTCTCAATCAACTGGCAAAAATGGAAGAAACCACAAACAGTCAGATATTTGGGAATATTCTGCTATTACTGATCAGCTTAATCTTGGTCAATATTTCCATCCATGATGAAGTTAGAAGGATTTCTGGAAATTCTTAGTTTAAACTTTGAACAGAGCACAGCTTTGCATGAGATAACTTGTGGAAACCAAAGAAAAATAAAACTCTAGAAAAGCTAATTGTGAATTCATTAGAATGTATTAACGCAATGTTTCTTTTCCTGTCACTAAAGCAGTAATTAAGGTAACAGTACGCTTGGCTGTTTTTTTCCCTTTCCTTTTCATTTGAATATTTACAATGCTTATTTGATTAATTAGCGCTTCAAAAGAAAGAGTCTTGATTTTTCACTTGCTTACATGATTCTATTTCAACCGCTGTTGATGGATTTTAGGTCCTCAGTTAGGAATTAGTGTGTATTTTTCATGGCTTATGCTCAGGTTATTAGGATAAGACTTCACTCAGTCATTTTCTCTTATTACTTCCAGGTAAAATGACTGGGGTCCAGCCAACCTGGTGAGCACATGTTTAAATGCTTTTGGCAATTTAGCCCATGGCAGCTCATGGAGATTTGATCAACAGTGGGCTTTTTAATGATCTGTGGCAATTGCATACCCACTGTCTTTCAATGTCATTAGTTTCAATGCTTGGGCGTGATTGCCCCAATTTACTTACCTGAGCAGTTGGAAACAATGACAGCATGAGCTTTGCTCTTAACCCATATTGTTCGGATCACAATGAAGTAAATAACGCTACAGTTGGGGAAAGAACAGAAAACAAACAAGTTAGCGATTCTTTAGGATGGGATAATTCTAAGTGTCTCATCATCCTAGTGATATAAGTAAAAAAAAAAAACCTGCTCCTTTTCCCTTATGTGGTATCCAAGAGCCCATATAGAGTCCTATTGTAGGTTCTCTATCGGTAGGAGAAAATAACAGAGGCCAACCAGAGAATATTGAGAAACAAAGCAGCTAGCAAGCCTGATCTTTATTAACTGTTGCAACAGGGTGCTCCCCTACACGCAGGAGAGAGGAGAAGGACCCCGAGCCATGCGTACAAGCCCTTATGTAGACATTTTAAATTGGCCGCCCTGGAGTCCAAGACCATCCCCAGAAACATCATACATACATCACAGAAGGGGTGTAGCCCAAGATCACCCCCCAGATACATCATATCTACATCACAGAAAAGGTGGTCTACAACAGAAATCTGAGTGCATTGTTTTTACCCTGTCTGCCAGGTTACCTGTTAATGGTCACTTAACTGGATTACCTGGGGAGCCTGGCTATTCTTTTGTAATGATAATACTTTTAATGATACTGGAAGTAGTGTTAAGGTTAAACTTCTGCAGAACTTCATGGCTTAAATCAAAACTCACATTGTGTCAGCTACAAGCATACGCACACTGGCAAACTAGTGTTATAAGAATTTTTAGGTCTCATTATATATATTTATATACGAAAGCATATATATATATATATATATATATATATTGAAAGAGCAGGTGAGAGGCACATATATATTGTTCATAAATGTACCAAGCAAAGGTAAGGTAAAGGGACCCCTGACGATTAGGTCCAGTCATGGACGACTCTGGGGTTGCGGTGCTCATCTCACTTCATGTGGCCAGCATGACTAAGCCACTTCTGGCGAACCAAAGCAGCGCACGGAAATGCCGTTTACCTTCTCACTGGAGCGGTACCTATTTATATACTTGCACTGGCATGCTTTCGAACTGCTAGGTTGGCAGGAGCAGGGATCGAGCAACGGGAACTCACCCCGTCACGGGGATTCGAACTGCCGACCTTTGATCAGCAAGTCCTAGGCTCTGTGGTTTAACCCACAGCGCCACCCGTGTCCCACACAAGCTACAGGGTAAAAAAACTTGGTGCTTGTCTATGCAGGGCTGCTAGCTTGCAAGCAGGAGAACAGGCAGTGTGACCTGTCACATTTCACCTCCTGAGGCAAAACAGAAAGGTCACAGCCTGTGTGCGCATGCCATGTGCCTCTCACCTGCTCTTGCAACCCCCCACCAAAGCCTTGCTTACTGGGGTGCCATGACCTCTGGGTTCTGGTGAGATCTCACAAGAGCCCCATGAGATTGTGCAAGGCTCTTGTGAGATCATACCAGAACCTGGAAACCTCAGCAGACGCTTCTCCTCACTCCTCTAACAAGCAAGTGGGAGATGCCCATGAAGGTTCCCTTGGATTCTGCCACCTGAGGCAGCTACCTCAGTCGGCCTCATGGGCAGCTCGGCCCTGAGAATGTCTTCTATATACCCAGTGGCGTAGCGTGGGGGGTGCCAGGGGTGCCAGCCGCACCGGGCGCAACTTCTGGGGGGGCGCGCTCGCTGCCTCCGGAGTCGCCGAAGAGCCTCGGGCGCAGGCTGTAGCTGGCAGCGGCTCTCAGCGCTCGCCGCGGTCCCCGCGCGTCAGGGCCACGGAGGGCGCGCCAGGCAGCCCCTCCTCACCGACGGGCAGCGTTCGCCTGCGGGGCTCGGCCAGCGCGCTTGGCTGGCCGCGTGGAGTCGCCGAGGAGCCGCCGCCGCCTGCCATGCCGCCCTGGCTGCTTCAACCGCCTCCGACAGCCGGCTCGAGGCTCCTTCCGGCCGGGTCTCCCGACGGGGCGCTGCGGGCGGAGGCTCCGGCACCAAGCGCCACGCCGCCCAGGCTCGGGTCGCTGTCTGGACGCGCGCAGCCCGCCAAACGCGCCATCGGCGGCGCTCTAGTGCCTGCGCGCCAGGACCGCCCACCCGCCCCGACGGGGCTCCCCCACCCGCGCCGGAGGCCGGCCGACGCACTGGCCCCCGAGCCGCCCCCTCCCCGCGCCAGAAAGAAGCCGCGTCGGGACTAGCCGGGCCGGGGAGGGAGACCGAGAAGGCTGCGCCGCGACGCCCAAAGACGCGCGTCTTGGCGTATTAATGACCATGGTTAGGTGTTAGGGGGCGCAAATTACTTGCCTTGCCCCGGGTTAGGGGGCGCAAATTACTTGCCTTGCCCCGGGTGCTGATAACCCACGCTACGCCGCTGTATATACCCAGGTAAGGCAGGAGGTGAGGCAGCTGTGACCTATTCCTATTCTATTCCACTTCCTATTCCTATTCCTATTCCTATTCCTATTCTAGTCCACATGTTCCTATTCTAGTCCACTTCTCCTCCCCTGCCTGTGGTGCAAAGTAGCAGCTTCTGAGTGACCTGCTTGAAATATTCATATTGATAGTCCAGGCCTGGAAACCATAAGCATAAATGATTTTTTGCTTTAATATTTCTGTTCCGCTTTTCCAACAACAAACATTGAGCTCAAAGCAGCTCAGTGGTATTTGTAAAAAGTGTTGGTTTTTTTTAAGAACATGTAAGCATGGATTGATAATCGTTAAAAATATATATTTACAATAGGTGATGATATAGAGTTATGAAAAATGACAGAGGGTAAGTATTTGCTGAAAGGACTTTTTAAAATGGGAATACAAAAGGGGAGGTGTGAGGAGGTCAAAGAACCAAGGAAATAAGATAAAGGATGATTGAAAGATTGAGTTAATCTTAAACTCTTTTTGTTTTCTTTTTTATATTTAACTATTGTCACTTCCTCTCTTTTTTCTTTTTATATATATATTCACTTTTTATGTGTGTTTTTTCTATTTTATTCTTTTTTCTTTTTTTTAGACTGTTATTAGTGACTTTTGTGAATTGTATTGTCAAATTTTATGTCTGTTTTTTAAAATCTTAATAAATATTATTGTAAAAAAAACCAAAAACAAAAAACTAAGCAGCCCGCAAGCATCACAAAAGCACTGAAATCCGCAAACATTACAATCACTATACTATCAAACAAGCACAATGACATATAAATACAGTGGTACCTCGGGTTAAGAACTTAATTCGTTCTGGAGGTCCATTCTTAACCTGAAACTGTTCTTAACCTGAGGTACCACTTTAGCTAATGGGGCCTCCCGCTGCCGCCGCCACACAATTTCTGTTCTCATCCTGAAGCAAAGTTCTTAACCTGGGGTACTATTTCTGGGTTAGCGGAGTCTGTAACCTGAAGCGTCTGTAACCTGAAGCATCTGTACCACTGTAAAGCAAACTACAACAAATTCATCAAAATGGTTAATACAATTCAATAAAGTATTAGCTAAGAAGAAAAGAAGTTTCCATGATGGCAAAGATATTAATACCCACACTTCTGAAGCTGGTGTGTCACCAACTTTAATGATCTTGGCTCCAGTCAGGAACTGCATAATTAAACCAAATGTCACAAAGGGAGAGCTACCTAGCTCCATCGAAGTGCCTCTGTTTGATTCAAGAATGACGCTCATCCAGTAAACTCAAGATTCTGTTGTTGCTGCATGCAGCTTTGATAACCATGAAGCTGAAACGGAGCATACATGTGGAAATAAATGAATGGCGCTAGAGAGGCAACCAAACATTCAGTTCTGTAACTTTATTTCATCGGCCTGCCCTTGCCTTCTGCACATTCTGCCAGCTAGGTATGACCAAAGTGGAAAACACTGGCCTTCTTTGAGGTATGAATGGCAGATCATTCTGCCATGGTAGCAAGCCAACATACCAAGTTACTTGAAGGAAAAGAGAATGCAAAGGAAGTAAGACAGAAAGAGAGTGGGCTTGCAATTTGGCAACCCTACCCAAGAAAGCTACTTGTTATTCATTTTCAATTCCTATGATGGTATGATTGTTCCAGATAAATAAAGCCATCTGAGGCCCCTGGATCTCTCTTCAGAAGACATCTGTGAGTTATTCTTTTCACAGTATAAGAAAATTACAGAGGTTTTTGAATAATAAGGATAAGGAAGATGAGGCATTTATAAATTACTTTTTGAGTGTTCGGCAACTCACATAGATTATTGAGTAATCTTTGCAACAAATTTCAAAGGGACAGCCATGTGCTGTAGGCATGTGTGTGTGTGTTAATGAAACTGACACCTTCATAATGTACACAGGTCTGCACGGAATAGTTTTGTGCCTTCATGTGTGGCAGCTTTCCTCCTATTCCAGTGCTAAAAAAACAGGCATCCAAGTCTGGATTAAATATTTAAAAATAGGGTGATATTCAGTAAGTTTTATTCAAAATAGATTGAATGGATGGATCTAACTTAGTCATGCCCATTCGTTTTAATGGGTCTACTTTGAGTAAAGGATTGTTGAATACTACTGATAGGAAGTGACAATTTGCACCTGGTCATAGGATTCTCTACTATGGTGAGATGTTTTGTATTTCTCTTTCATTATAGAGATTATAATTTTACTATCATATAATACCATATGCAGATGGCATTCCAATTTTATGCCAACCTCTGGCTTCTTTTAGCCTCCTTTTTGGTACACAGCAACAGGTCCCAGTTCAGTACATTTCTTACACTGAAAAATCGATTTCACAAAACCTCCCACCTTAGGAAAGTACATAAGCATAAATTCATGTGCAAACAAGTGATCAAATCCTATTAACCTTACTGGACACCCATGAGCAAGATTTAATACCAGAAATCTATAAACACCTGTGCTCAAACTTCCGGGAATATGACACCACTTGAATATATCGGTTCCATGTACTGTGAAGCAAGAGATTATTGTACTTTGTATTTCTTTGCATTTTCTGCCTTTTCAGATATATTCAAATGCAAAAGATACTGATTTGCCCCTCACAGGAGGAGGCTGTTTTCCACTTTGACATTACATTGCTTGTAGGATGTGGCAGAAGTAGCTTTCAGAACACAATGTATGGTTGTCTCCTTTGGATTAGTTTCATAAATACACTGCTTTTCAGCTTTATAGCTCTTAAAGCTGCACGAAACAAGATAAAAATGGTCTTGAACAGTGATGCATGTGGTTCCCAGGTCTGGATCATGGACGTGTTTGGTTCAAGTGACTCTTCTGACCAGTCTCTCTTACTCTTCACTAACTCTTCACTAATGTGTTTGCCATTCTAATGATAATTTTAGTTGAGTCCCTGGTACTGCCTTCAGATAAAGCAAAATACGCGACACGGGTGGTGCTGTGGGTTAAACCACAGAGCCTAGGACTTGCCGATCAGAAGGTCGGTGGTTCAAATCCCCGCGATGGGATGAGCTCCCGTTGCTCAGTCCCTGCTCCTGCCAACCTAGCAGTTCGAAAGCACGTCAAAGTGCAAGTAGATAAATAGGTACTGCTCCGGCAGGAAGGTAAATGGCGTTTCCGTGTGCTTCGCCAGAAGCGGCTTAGTCATGCTGGCCACATGACCTGGAAGCTATACGCCAGCTCCCTCGGCCAATAGAGCGAGATGAGCGCCGCAACTCCAGAGTCGGTCATGACTGGACCTAAAGGTCAGGGGTCCCTTTACCTTTACCTTTAAAGCAAAATATGAAAAGGAACGAAGTCCGCACACCTAAAGACCTATGCAGACATTTAATTCCTCCCTCTTTTGCTCTTCCAGTTGCCTTTTACAAGTTGGAGGGTGATGGCCCAAAACGTATGTATCCAAGAGAGTTCCCCATGTGCTTCAGAACCTCAATTTCCCCCATTTATTTCAATGGAGGAAACCAAGATGTGCCCTTCTTCCTTTGCGTAACTATGCAGATTAGTGCCCTCCATTGAAATGAAGGTGGAATCTCACCTGGACGTGTGAGATAAGTGCGTGTGAATGCTTAGTACAAGATCCTTACCTGATAATAATCAGAGGAATGAAATATACCAGGAAGGCAACTGTGGTCATGTAGGGAATCCAGTAGGAGTCATCCGGCCAGGCAGCCCAGCACTGCACTTCGCCATTGGATAATTGCCGCTTCCCGAATATAATCAGTGTTGGAATTGAAAACAGGAAGGCAAGGCCCCAGGCAACTACAATGAGGATTTTTGCTTGCCTTTCTGCTCGAGAAATAAGAACAAGGTATTGTATTACATGTACAGCTTATTCAAAGAACAGACCTGGATATTGAGGAAAATTTAGAGGGGTGAATGAGAGGCAATAGAGTTACTTACCCCCAGTGTGGGGAGAAACTTAGCTGGTCGCATTCTGTGAAATATGAATGACTATCTGTGTTCTGTTTTAGGATTAAAATAATTAGGGATGGTTTATCAAATATATTGCCATACGGATAACTGGGAGCTCTGCCAAACACTGTAGTTGGGGAAAAGCTTGTTGCAAGGTGTTTTTGAGATTTCAGACAAAGAATGGCCAGCACAACAGCTGGGCTTCATTCAATTCCAGGGAGCTCCAGAAACAACAAAACCCAAACAAGCATGGTCACCACTCCGTGGCAGAACTTCACTAGGCTCCATGTACAAAAGATCCCTGGTAATCCCAATTAACATGATTTCAGGGAAGCAGGAGAGATCTCTGCCCAGCCTTATCATCAGCACATGGTATTCTCAGGCAATCTTGGGTCCCAAGAGCCTCCAAAATGCCAGGGCCGGACCTGGAATAACCTCTATATTTTCTGCCTATAGGGATTTTCTTCTTTTTTTAAGTGATAAATAAAAAAATGCTTCCATTTGAACTGTAGCAATTTTACAAAGGAACTATTACATGATTTTGCTGGGTTTGTGGCTCATTCTCTCACCCTACTTTTAACAATGTGCACATTTTAAAGGCATGGCTATTTTTCGGGTACAACAAGGTTTAGGAATGCAAGTGAGGGAAGCAGATGGCCCTCAGTTAGCTCAATGAATGATCTCAGTGAATGGCGTTTGTTTGTTTTTATTCCAGTAGGCATTTCAACTGAATTCTGAATTTTATAGCTAAGTTTCTGCACGTTGCTTAGAGATGACTGTGAGTAACTGGCATATAAATTGTCGAAACAAACAAACAAATGTTATTTAAAAACCTACTTCCATTCACCACTGCCTGCAATTCCAGTGTTCTGCAGAACACAAACTCCCCAATTATGATTCCTTTAATGCAATGTATAGTATTGTTATAAGGTTTGTGGGGCCTGGAGTCCCCTTCTAATTCCAGAGTGCCAACAGAGGGGGATTTAGGGCATGCAGCCTGGGTAGCACCGGCCTGCAACTATGATGCAGAATGGAAGGCGAGAGGAAGGGGCACTGAATATTGGCATCTCACAGGGCACCCTTGAAATTTGAGACCCCAAGGTCACCCACTGGTGCGAGACATTGAATTTAGCATGTTAAAAGTCAGGAACCAGCTTGGTGAGTCTTTGGCTGGGACCAAGGGAGTGGCTCTGTGCCAGAGGGCAAATGGTCCCTCATTGGAGAAAGACAAAGGGAGAATATTGGGATGGAGTTTTTGCAGTGATGTGAGAACTGGCAATATTCAGCAAAATGGAGAGAGGGTGAGAGGCATGTTTTGAAGCATGTTTGATTTCTGCTTGAAATCTGGGCTGCGGCTATGGAAAAATCAAGACCTTTTTGGGGTGGCAATGTTCTGAACCCCTCAATTGCAGGCTCGGGTTATATATATGTGTGTGCGTAAATAAACCATATATCATAAAGACACCACAGTCTCTGCTCAAGAATGGGTTTCTGTGCAGTCAGTTTGAAACAGGACCCAACCCCCCCAACCTTTTTCTTCTTAGCATTTCTAAAATGCACAAACTTGAGCTGTTGAGCAAATGCATAACAAGAACACAGCTGTATAAAGAAAGCTCTCTCCTTTATCAGTCACAGCAACGGATGACCTTGGCTGTTCCAGTGGAGTAGGGATGACATGTCTAGGTCTTATCTAGACCTAGTCCGGGAACAGCGCCAGAGTATGTTCTTGGAGTTGGTGACCTCTTGTTCCAAGATAAGAATATAGGAACAGGAATACCCTTTTATGGTCAGGAATACAGGAAGGAAAACCCTTTTATGGTTAAGAGTACCGGAGCAGGAACATCTGTGATGTCAACCTGCGTGTATAAGCTGACGTGCCTGGATTCCTGGGGAAGGGGGAAAGAGGGTGCCTGGAGGATATATATACTGCATGAAATCTCTCTTTCTTTGGACTTGCTGTGGACTGACCATGCAAGTGCCTTTCTGCTGCTCTGGAGAGCAGAAATAAAGATCTCTTTCTCTGAACCAACCCTCGGTGTCATTTGACTTCCTTCCTCCCTCACGGGAGCAATGCAAACCCAATCGGTAAACTCCAATAAGGCTACAATTTTCCCAAAGGAAACACAGAACTTTATGAGTAAAGCGTGCCTGGAACCCCTGAGGTCTCACGCTGCTGTGAAGATTGGGGTGGCGTGTAACAGTCTCATTCATGTGCCATTATCACATTGTGTATTTCCCTGCCTTTCCTCCACACCAAAAGTAAAGAGGGGAGAGCTGTGTGTGCTAGCTCGAGCTCCTTGGCCGAAGGGCAGAGTAAAAATCTACTTGGCAAGTACCGGTACATAAACATGATTGGATGCCACAACATGGTCAATAATATGGTGTCACAATCACAAGTATGTTCACATTCTTTAGGATAATGTGATGTGGGGGATGCTGTTTTCATCAGCAGTCAATGTTCAGAATAACATTAAGTCCTGCCCTAAATGTTTCTCTGCAGAGCATTTTTTTCCAGATTTAAAAACCACTCTGTTAGTTGTCTTCCTGATAGCAAATCTTCCACTGTCCTGCAAAGTTCCGGTTGCAGTTTTTTACTGACACTGGAAAATACAATTTCCCTATATCTCCTACACAGACAGATTTTTACTTTATTTTAAACTAATACTATGAAGCATTTCACTGGTATAAATGGAAGTCCCACAACATTTTAAATGACATGATTTAAGTTTCAGGGGCTCAAACCAATTAAAATTTTTTAATTCCCCACTGAATTTCCACCAGGCATAAAATTTCAAACATTTTATCGTTTTATTAACTTTTGGATGCCTAATGGCCCTTTCTCACCAGAGTAAGAAAAAAGGAAGATATTCATTAAGTCAGATATCTGACATGATTGCAATAATGGTTGTAAAATGCCAAAGGCCAACACCACAGATATTTGAAAAATGGCAAGGGAGTCTAAGAACAGGAATTAATAAATGAGTCTATTGCATTATTTATAGCAGTAAAATATTTGCTCTGAAAATGAAGTTGTTGCACGAAGTGTGTGTGTGTGTGTGTGTGTGTGTGTGTGTGTGTGTAACATGGGAGTGGAATAAATCTCTTACCTCCTTGGAAGAATTTCATTGGATACACAATGGCATGATATCGGTCTATGCTTAGTGAAACCAGGACATAGGTTGAAGCATACAAAAGTACAACCTAGAGCAGAAAGAAAGAAGTGACCGTTTATTGGAGGGAAATGGGTCATCAGAGCATTGGCTCAATTCCATTTTGGCATTAGGCCTGGGCATGGCACTGAAGCTGCCATGATTGTATGGCTTGGGAGAAAGATGGCGGATTGGGACCCTGCCCATTCTCAGGAGCTGTTGTGACTGTTGGGCATGGTATCCTTCTCAAGCGTCTCAAGGGGGTGAGGGTTGGCAGGACTGTGTTTCATTGATTCCCTTCCTATCTCCATGGCCATTTCCAGAAAGTAGTCATGGGTTGTCCTGCCCCATGATGTCCTCCAGGGTTCTATCAACTTGTCCCCAATGGTATTTAACATCTATATGAAACCTCTGGGAGCTGTCATTAGGAGATTTAGAGTGAAGTGTCGTCAATATTCAGATGGCACCCAGCTCTATCTCTCTGTCCACATGGATCAGGAGAAGCAGTTGAGGTGTTAGATCAGCGATCGGTGGTGATGATGGGTTGGATGTGGGGCAAGAAACTGAAGCTGAATCCTGAAAAAGCAAATGTGTTATGGGTCTTGAGTTCTTGTGTCTGGGAGGCGGAGAGGCAGCCTGACCTGAATGAGATTTCACTCCCCTAGAAGGAGCAGGTCTACATCTCCACCATAACTGAAGTCACAGGTGGACTCGGTGATTGTGTGTGCCTGTTTTCAGCCCCATCTGGTTCACCAGCAAGGCCCGGTTGGGACAAAGATGACTTGGCTATTGTGTAACAAAATTGATACGTAAAATAAACTCCCCCCCCCCACTTTCATGCAACCACCTTCTTGGAAACAGAGTGATTTCTGACCCGCCCCCGCCCTAGGCAAATTGTTAAGCTAAGGAATAAGTACGTCAAGAAGAGAGACATTTATCTATTCTCCTACCTGCAGATAGCGAACAATTCGGCAGACGAGATCAGGGGCCATGAAATCTCCAGTGAAGCGCCAAATTATGTCAGTCATTATATTTATAAGGCCTGTAAAACAATCTATTAAAAATACAAAAAGGCACAGTTAGAAAGGAAGGGAAAAAGGAGCTACTACAATGCTATTATCGTCTTCAATCCTATTCCCACCTGCTGTGATTGTGGAGATCAGTGTGTGGTAGCTGCCATGGGATAAAATAAATGCTCAGATTAATAAGTACTTTTCCATACAGCATTCATAAAAAAGTTGCATAGGCAGTAAAACCTGGCTTAGTTACAGTGGTGAGAGTTCCTAAATGACTGGTATAGGAACTCAAGAGAAGCTTGTAAGAGTCATGCGGTCCGAGCTGGCTCAGCTCACACCTCCACACATGTGTTGAGCTTTTCAGGTAGACTCGGGGAACAATGTCTTGATTACCTAGCCCCTCCCAAGGTGAGCTAAGTCTGGCAGAAGAGTATCTATGGTATTAACCCTTTCATGTTTGTTATATGAGGTTGGTTATCCCAGACTTACAAAGCACCTTCAGATCTGACCACTCTATGAAGCCAAGTCAGAGGTGGACGCGGTGGGGATGTACGCCTCTAACACACATACAGCTTCTGTCATAGAATCGAAGATTTGGAAGAGACCCTGAGAGTCATCTAGTCCGACCCTCTGCAGTGCAGGAATATGCAGCTGTCCCATACAGGGATTGAACCTGCAACCTTGACATTATCAGCACGATGCTCTAACCAACTGACCTGAGTTATAACACCTGACAGGTCTCCTGAAAACAAGGCTTAGACTCTAAAGTTCAGGAAAAACTTGAGCACCTGGAAACCTTACCTGGGCTTGTAGCTGAGAAACAGTCCTTGTGGCTGTTTCCGTTCCACTTAAAGTTCATTGATTTTCAGTCAGGATCTAATGTTCACCCACTTTTGCCTCTGGCCCCATGCCCCACTGACATGTGTCCCTCAAAAGAAAATACAGCCCTCAGGTTAGAAAAGGTTCCATGTCCTAAATCTAGAGTGTCCTCTGGGAATACAAAAGCACACTGGGAGTTTTAAACAAAGATGCTCTTACACCAGAGGCTGAATTGGGATAGGATGTTGGGCTACCTTTGGAAGGGGGCTTCATAAACTCTACCATACGCTGTTCATTTCTGGAGTGAAGCAGTGTAAATTGCCGCTCAGACCTTGACTTCTGGTGCTTCACCTGCACCAAATCCCTAACCGCTGCCAGGCTCTCCGTGAAACACAGGGATGGTAGGAGATTTAAAACAAGAGTTAAAGAGAGAGTGCGAGTTGTGTGCCACTCTGCAGATTTGGCACAGATAGATACCGTAATTCATAGGTGTGATGCTGTTGTGTTTGAATTGTGTTCGATTGATGCCCGAATAGAACTGTCCTCGCTTCTGAGGAAAGAATATTTTCACATCCACACGGAGTTGTTTGGGCCAGCTTTGATTTCTAATCTTTCGTTGCCAAACCAAAGTGTCAAAACGAACAGAAACTGCAGGAGCTACAGTGTTCATTTTGAAGAATGTAATTGTAATAAGGGACGTCAGTTGAATTCAGTGACCTTTAATATGAAGGATAGCTGGTCAGTTGATTGCTAACCCGTTAGGCAAAATGTATCCGTTTGACGTGTGATGGCGGCGGGGAGCTGTTATTTGCTTCGGATAACAGCAGGATCACGAACATTATGCTACACAGAACACCATAATAAGTCATGGTTACAATCCTGTAGTCCCCCAGCATTTTTAGAGCTAGATTAAGACAAGTGACTGTCTTAGAGTTGTTGCTCTTTAGAGGAAACAACTTAATAAGAGGCAAGAGGCTGTGTATACCTTTAACACACATTCAAAACACTTTCTTTCCTCGAAGAATTCTGGGTACTCTAGTTCAGTGTTTTTCAACCACTGTTCCGCGGCACACTAGTGTGCCGCGAGATGTTGCCTGGTGTGCCGTGGGAAAAATTGAAAAATTCGAAAGATTTAAAAATAAAGTATTTTATAATTTTTCACATTTCTGTTTACTTACTATTTCATAATAAAGTAATTATAAAATACTTTCTTTGTGTTTATTTGATTCCTGTTCAAGAGAATTACTTTATATATAGTCAATATAGGCACAGAGTTAAATTTTTTAACATTTTCTAATGGTGGTGCGCCTCGTGATTTTTTTTCATGAAACAAGTGTGCCTTTGCCCAAAAAAGGTTGGGAAAACACTGCTCTAGTTTATCCCTCACAGAGGCAGGCCTGGTACTATCATTAGGTCAACCAGGCAGCCGCAGACCTCCGAGGATGCAGTTTTATACAGATTAAGTTTTGTTCTATTTTATAAAATCCTGATGACATTTTACTTTTATTTTATATTCTGTACACGGTTTCTCAAAGCCCAAACTTATGAAAACTTACAGTGTTGCGAAAAGAGACTAGTTGGCAACTCTATTGATGGAGCATTCCCAAGCATCAGTGCTTGACCCAAAGGAATTGGTGACAAAACTTGCAAAGTGAGATTTTTGATATGCCCGGAACTGAGACTTTTAAGACACTTAAACGTTAACATCACAATTTGCATGATCACTCAAAATGATTTGTGTGCTGGGACATTTTCTTTTGCGTTTGAGGAAGACAATAAAAGATGCGTGCCTTACTTATTCTTGAATCGGAAGTTCTCAGAGCATTTCACAGCATGAAATACAGAATAAAACCACAAAGTACATAAAAAAGAACAAACCAAACCAATAACCCCTCTCCCTTCTGCAAAAACAAAACAAAAATATTTCAAAGGGCGTAGACTGTCAATCAGCAAAAGGCCTGGCTGAAGAGGACTGGGGTGAGCTCTTGTACCTGTTGTAGCATTTTTAAAGGAGGACGGACTGGATTTGATTGACTTCCAATGCAGAGAATTATGAGTGTTGCTAGAAATACATTCTCATCTCATTTCTGGGTCAGTAATTAAAGATGTTCCTGCCATTCAGTGAGTTACAGACTAAGGAAACTCACTGAGAGGGACTGAGAAAGGCATTGGCTTAATTACTTTTGCCTATCTCAGGGTTAATTGGGCCACAATAAACCAGGATTGCTCCACTCCACCTGTTCCTGTGGAGTGAAAGGAAACTAAGAAAGAGAAAGGGTGTGTTTTTCTATCACTCCTGCTCATTCCAGCAGGAGCTGTTCAGCAGACGGTCTCAGAGGACTGTGTCCTTCATGGTGTCTTTACAGTGAAGCTTGGGACTTAGATTCCACCCCTCCTCTAGTCAAATACAGTCAGTGAGGGATAGCCAATGGGATGCCTCCAGGGTGTTGTTTGACAACATCTCCCATCATTCCTGAACACTGGCTGATGGGAACTGGAGTCCAAAACCACATGGAAGGCATCACATTCGCTAGCCCTGAAATAAAGACATCAAATTACACGTCCTGCCAATTCAGTTGGTCCAGATGTGCATAGAGATGAAGACACCTAGCCACAGCAACAATGCATACAGGAATTTGTTGCGTGCATCTTACTCTGAATGGGTCCCCTCACAAAATAAGCTATAATGCTTGGGTTGAAATCGCTTCCTCTATTAGCCAGCCCCATACCCTGCAAACAGGGCAACTGTGATTCAAAAAAACTTGGCAGCTAAGGGGGAGAAAGGAAGGTAACAGAAGGCTTGGGCAGGTTTGGCCCAGCCATGTAGTAGGCTGAGGTAGATGCTGTGACGTTAACATATGACAGAGTGCTGGAGGTGAAATAGTTCATAGAATCATAGAATCATAGAATCATAGAGTTGGAAGAGACCACAAGGGCCATCGAGTCCAACCCCCTGCCAGGTTGCCCAGTCAGGACCCGGGGGGTGGAGTCAGAGGGACTATAAAACCAGCTCTGGGAGGGGCAAAGGGGAGAGTTCGTTGGGAGTTGGGTGGTTGGTTGGATGGAGTGGGAGTGAATTGGGATAGAGTTTGTGGGTAGGTTGAGTTAGGGTAGCAAAATAAGCTGAGTCAGGAACAGTTAGGGGCTAGGAAGACAAGTAAATATCTGAGAGGTGGCTTAGTGAGTGAGAGAAAGTAGCGGAAGTTATAGGTCTGGATAGGCACCCTATGATTGTAATTGACCGATACCATTTATGAAACCACACGCTTGTTAAATTGCAATGAATAAACAGAAGTTTATGTTCCAATTTAACCCTGACTGGACTCAGTATTGTACCAGGTAGGGCCTGGGTGGTGGCAGCGAGAAATAAAGTGGTGGCACAGGGATCAATAGACAGTGAAACGTCTGGGGACCCTGTGTGATCGCCACAGATGCGTTGGGTGATGGAACACCAAGAGACAGTGTCCCCAGGGTGCCCCACCCTCCCTGAAGCCTCCTGCGACTGCTGAAAAAGCCATGGTGGCATCTCACAGCGAGATCTTCTGAGATCTTGCCACTGTTATTGCGGCTGCTTCATGGGTGCTGCTACACAACCCCGGCAAGGCAAGAGGACGCAGTGTTATTACGTTCCTGTTATGCTTCAGGTGGCAAAATGGGATGCACTGCCCCTGGGCTTGGGGTAACCCCAAGGTTTGCAGAACTAAACGCAAAAAGAGGGAACTTTTTTTCTTCTTTTTTTTGCTCCTGGTTTAATGTACTGTGTGCCCTATGATTCTCCAAATACACATTTTGTGTTTAAAATAAGAAAAACTTTGAAATAAATGCAGGCATTGTTCTATCAGTGCATCTGAGGTTCTGATACAAATAATCAACTTTACATATTTTATGTCCCTGTATGGGCCTTTCCCCTTTCCTCCAATTTATGTATCTAAATATGTTGAAAACACAGCAATCTTCCATTTGGAAAACAAAACAGCCAACTCTTTTGCTTTCCTATGTATAATATTATCACAGTTACGATTATGGGCTCTGTGCTGCCTGAGCTTTCTGATTCTGTTGCTAGGCGATTTGAACACACTATTATGCTAATGCAGAGAATGTTGCCAGTGGACTCTCTTCTGGTGGAAAAAAATATTTAAAATTGGTGTGTCTGAATGGGGTGGTTTTTTGGTCTCCTAATAGTATGATTTGATGGTGTACATTAACACCGACTGAAGAC